AAAAAATTTACTCGAATGCAAAATTCATGTGATGAACTTCAAATACAAACCATCAATTTTGGCGGGGATGGAACGCCATACTTTTATGCTTTCCTCAGTCACCTTTTTTGGCGGAATATTCCCTGAAATGGCGTGCGCAAATCTTCTCCGACATCAGAGCGCACGCGCACGAGCACTGACGCGTTATTGCTGTGAATCCAGTAGAAAAATAACTTCTAAAATATCTAAACGATCCAGTATTCAAAAGAATTATAAAGACATTTATTAATCATTCAGTATATAGTAGAAAAACTTGTCCATGGTTAAGAAAGTTATACAAACATTCAAATAAAAATCTAGACTCATTCTAAGAAATTAATTAACCCAAGCATAAGGTGCAAAGCCATTAACTAACCAAAACGTACATTCTTCCTTATGATATATTTTTGGGATTATTTCGAGTCCTTTGTTACTAAAAATAGCTGTTGATTTAGGATGCTTGAGCCAAGTATGGCTCTTTACTTCACCGTTATAAAAGAAATGTCTCAATTCAGTCCTTAAAAGTTTCTTGAATTTTATGTCCTGTTCTGAGGGTTTGTATTTAAAAGGCTTAAAAAAGTTATAAAAGGCAATCAGATCCCACATGTGAAATGAATACTTGGGATTTCCTCGTAGAAGATGGATGTCATGTGATGGAGTGCTGGTGACCACATATCTGTATACAGGACTTATGAAGTGCTTTACAGCAGTAATGGCAAAGTATTCCACAGGACAGACCTCACGAATATCAGAAACCATTGTTGTATAACAGTACTGAGCAGATTTATTTGAAGTTTCTATCTTATATGAATTGAATATTCTCTCCAACTTAGATGAACTGTTCGTGCCTAAAAATGGTGAAAGTTTTGTTTTTGCATAAGCTTTAAATTGTCCTAAGGATGAGTTCTGAAAATTTTTCTTTGGTCTGTCATCTATTTCCTGAGCAGTATTGCCAAGGATGAGGGGTACATCATTGATATCATCTGATTTGATAGCAATTGCTGGTGCTGATGGTAGTACATAACCATCAATAACAGCAATAGCATGAGGAAAGATGGCTTTGGTTGGAAAGTCTCTACTGCTGTCTTTTTGTTTATAATGGTATGCATTCCAAGGACTGGCTTTGAGTATCTGTTGAGGTGATAATGTATGCAAGCATTGCAACTTCATTGAAGCATTTCCAGCACATTTTGCATTGGTTAACAAAATTTCATTGTCTTTAGCAGCTTCTGATGATGTTTTTGTTATGTCTGCTGAAGGACTCAAGGCAATCGCCTGCTGAAACAACCCCTTAGCCATTGGAGATGCCAGCAATGCTAGCACTGAAGTTCCACCAGATCCCTGCCCAAGTATAGTCACTTTATCAGGGTCTCCTCCAAACTGTGCAATATTTTCACGGACCCACTGAAGGGCCAAAATTTGATCCATAAACCCATAGTTGCCAGATGTATTCCTACTTGAACTTTTACTTAGAATACCCAGTGCTAGAAATCCAAAAGCATCCAGCCTGTAATTAAGACTTACGCCAACTATTTCCATATCTGTGATCATCTCTGGTGTTGGGTGAAGACCGTTTTCATGGCCGGAAGAAGATAACAGACCGCCCCCATGTAAGTACACCATAACTGGCAACCTCTTTTTACTTGCCGTCGTTGGTGTCCAAACATTTATAAATAAACAATCTTCAGTCCCCATTGCTTCGATATTTCCTTGGTCTGTGTTATATCTAGCCTGAACGCATTCTTTACCGAATTCTGATGCCTGGAAGGTTCCATTCCAGCAGTCATTCCAGCCACAACTAGAAGGAGGTTGCCATCGCTGTGGATGCTTGGCGTAAGGGATGCCTTTGAAAACGAAAACATCTTCCTCCAAAACGCCATGAATAAAACCCCCATTGATCTTAACCTTTAATTCATCATTCTTTATTCTCCTCTGCATCTGTAGGACCTGCCTGGAAAAGTAGTAGTACAAAACTGCGCCTAGAATACTAATAAAACTCGTAAACAAGAGGCAAAAGAACAGGCGTCGCTTGGCCACAGTCTTCCTTGACGGTTCATACTCATATTTATATCGGCGCTCAAAAACAGCTTTATCGAACTCGATCTCTTCAAAATCATCTTCAGAGTCACTACAAAGAGTATAGGGATCTGATCTTCGGCCTAAAGAAATAATCGGCCTTGATTCTTCCTTATTTCGAAACATATTTTCCTTCGTTTGACTCTTAACGCACCATCTGCTGCATGTTATGACAACGGTTGATTGAATAACACAGGAAGCCCAAATATTCAGATACATTTTTGAGATACTTCTTTATTTGGTAACGTTAAGTACCATTACTCTCTTGGAATACTTTCATTTGGTTATGCTCTGAAACATGAAACCAAAAGATCCTAGTTATAATATGATAAGTATGAAAAGGATTTTTAAATAAGAAAAGGGTTTGAATTATTCTTAAGAATGGGCACCCTGTGGCTCTTCTCGGACGGGAAACTGTGTACTACAAATAAAGTCAAGATGGCGGATGGCGCGGAAAATGAATCTCACAACGAACTACAAGAATAAAACAAATATTTTGTGTCGATACAACAATGTTCTACTAGCAAAATGATTATCCATTGTTTCTGGAAAACTTTGCTTTTACTCTGATTGAAAAATATAGTTGAAATGCCCTTTTTCTGGTAAGTTAAAAGCAATAATACAATAAACACAATGTCAACTCGACTATTTAAAAAATAGTCTTGAATAATATTAAGCCCATTACTTAATACTATAGAACTTTTTTGTAATTTATTTGTAAATGTTAAAAAAGACACTAAATAGAATATATTGTCCATGTCATTTAGAAAGACACTGACGCCTCGGAGTTTATTTATCTTACGAGCAAATTCATACAATCTTGTTGTTGCTGTTGTTGACAGAAGAGCCTAAAAAACTAGGTGACCATGAAGAGCTGTAACTCCAAAACAAGGAATTTGATAAGGCCAAGCCCTAACGAAGAGGTAAGTTATATCATTTTCAGAGAATATAAAATACCGTCCCAACGGCAGCCAAAATTGGACATAGACAAGTGTAATAAAGACAGTAAGAGGAATTTTTTGAATTCAATTATTTCCAAATTAGACAGCATCTAGTCCGACCTATAATTCTATGCTAATTAATTTATTCTTTACAATATTGTTCTTACTAGGCTGCCATTGTCCAAAGTGAGCAGGAAAGAAGAAAGAAAATAAGACTAAAACAGGTAACAACATGGTAGCCATGTATTCATCATTGAACTCCCTTGGGAATTTGCTTCCAAAACATCTATCCTTTATTTTAATATTTCCAGGTCAGAGAGCAAGAGAAGGCATTTGCTCTTAAAATCCGACAGAATATCAAAAACAAAAAGGATAATGAACTTAAAATTCTGTCTGAACAGTTGAAGGTAGAGTCAATATTTTTGTACAGTATATTATGAAACTGGTATACACTAGGGCTGTCAACTCTCCTGGATAAGCTGGGAGTCTCCAGATTTTGGAACGTATCTCCCGGTCTCCAGATTAGAGTCTCAAATCTCCCGGATAATCGCCGAAGCTGACCATATCTAGACTCAACTTTCACAACCATAAAATTCCAATTATTTTTGTGTTGTTTTTGTTATTTTACATCGCTAACAAAATCAAAACATTCCTCGCAAACTGTTCTCGCAAGAGGCCATTGTAATATAAGCGATAATCTGATTGGTCAAAAATAAACTAATCACATCAAATGTTACAAAGTGAATGACGTCTTTTTCGCGCGCTTTTTCCCGCTGTGACGTCATGTCCCTGCCCTATCAATTCTCCAGATTTGAATACCTTGGGGGTTGACAGCCCTGTATACTCTCAAAAAAAGGGATAATGAAAATGATTATTTTTTTATGTTTGATAAAATTGTGGATTATGTCTTGTAGGAGCAATGGACAGAAAAACAGAAAACAGAATTAAGCAATCTGGAAAAGAGATACCAGAAGAACTTAGACAAAGTTGGAGATGGCCATACAGCAGCGATAAAGGTACTTCAATCTACAATTGATGTTAAAGAAAATTTTCAAAAATAATTGTAACTCCCAGCACAAAGCATGGTATATTATATCTAAGACTAGATGTGATTGTAATTCTAGGATCAAGATACAATTAAGAAAGATGGCAGAGTCCTTTCCAAGGAGGACAGACAGAGGTAAATTGAAAAAAAAGTATCTTGAAGCTTATTATTGTGTCTTGAATATCCTTGCCCAAATTCTAAACCTCTTGTGCATTTTTAGGGCAATTGAAAGACACAATCAAGCAGTAATTCAGGTAACATTTATAGTGCCATAACTTACCTGTGATTTATTCAGTCAGTCAGGTAATTCTGGAAGACAAAGACTTTGTTTATCATTTCTTTTAGTTTAATCTTGAAAGAGCAAGAAGCCAACAAGCTGAAAATGATCGAGCTGCAGCAAGGTAACATTTAAGATTGTTGTTGTTTTTAAAGCACATTCAAATAATATCTAATATATATTAAAGAATAAGGCTTGTCATCTCAGTCTGTAAAGTAGGTCTTCAATTTAGTCTACAATATTTTAATATCTTAAACTTGCATGTTGTCTTTATTCAGAGCCAAAGCCACAGAAGCTGAAAAAGCACGAGCTGCAATGGTAGCTAGTCTTCCACCATCAAGAGATCTTATCCAGGTACTAAATCAAACATTATATTTTATCAAACCCTGAAACTACCAGCCTTTTAACTAATTCAAGTCAGGACATGAATTGGAATTTAGCACTTTGGTTTAGCAGTGGGAGGAAAACAACTGGAGTTTATGAAGATAAACTCTGGAATTAGGGGAGAGAACTGTGCGGCCAAAAGGCTCTTTAGAGGCAAGGGCATCTTCCACTGACGCAAAGAAATTTACTTCTTTCCTCTTTTACTTTCAGGAGTTTGAACTTAAAGAAGGTGTGTATAGAAATATGTTATACTGTTGTTCTTTTCACATCTTTAAGCCTTAATCTTGATTCTGGATAAACAGCTCTTAACAACCAGGTACAAGGTCCATACTGTAAGTTATGGATGTCGCAAATTGACCAGTCTGACTCACAAAACCTTGCTTTGCTTCTAAAAAAATAAAAAACCCAAGACAAGAGAGGTCAACCTGGGGCAAGACTAGATCAATCATAGCTCTGAAAATTATCTTCCTATATGATAATGATAATGAAACTTGAAATTTGTTTGTGATTAGAGCAAAAACGCCACCCCAAGAGTGCAGAAGACTTTAAATCAACGCGGTACCACCTACAGCAACCTGCCGTTCAAGTAGAGAGAATGTCCAAAGAAGGGCAGGTACGAAAGATAATATGTAGGTTCCATGGGCAACCTTGGGGGGTAGGGTTGGGGAAGCATTTTTGATACTTTTATGTTGCCAATATTTTTTTGCAAAATATAGCTGATTGTAGTGCCTTTTTCGAAACATATAGAGCTTAGATGGTATCTATAATCATGCAACTCACAGTTAACATTGTGTTCAGCCTAAAAAGGGCACTCTACAGGTTTTTATTTGTATTGAATATTATTAATCAAAATGTCTTTTTTAGGTTGATGCCAGGGTTGCTGCTGTGGAAGAAGAGGATAAAATCCATGGTATAAGAGAGGAAACCCAAAGGAGTGAAGCAGAGCAAGCAGAAAAGGCTCGTTTAAGGCACAAACATGCACTAGCACAGCTCAAGATAGAAGAGGTATAATATTCAGGTCCTAGCCTATGGGGAGCATTCAGTTGAACAAGATTCTTCCTTAGGAAGCATTTATTTTTTGGGGAGGTGGGGAGATGGTGCTGTAAACATTTTTGGCCCCCTAGCTAAGCTTTGAAATTCAAAAGCAGCCCTTCAATACCTAAGTGATAAAATAATAATGAGTTAATAATTACCAGAAAAAATCAAAGTTTCTTCCTTTTTCACTATGTAAATATTTGATGGTCTTTTCCTTAATTACTCTGGCCCTCTCTGTCCCCCCTCCTCTCCTTATCTGTCCCCCGTCCTGCTTCCTTATCTGAATGCAAGCTTACTCATGAACATACATTTGTACTAATGGATTCTTCTTTATCTCGTTTTTTTTTTCAGGATCGCAAAAAACTGATGGAAGATCTCAGTGAACTTGAAAGACTTGACAGGCAAAGACGACAAGATGCAGTTGCTAGAATACCTGTAAGTTTTCATCATTTGTTGTAAGAAAAGAGATGGAAAAGATTATATAATCTTGCTACTTTACTCTAAAAGCAATGATGCCAATTCAGGGGTGGCCCTAGGGAAGGGGTGCTGGGGTGTGACACCCCATAGAAGAGCTGATGTCTACTGTGTTATAGAGGCTTTCAGCTTGGGAATAATGTTTCCCCATTTCAGACCACCCGTTATTCCCTAGTGAATCCATTCAATGTTTAACAGTTACACATGAGAAGACACATGAATACATATACGACTCAAAAAAAGAATCTTATTCTCAGGGGAATGACATGAGGTCTGAAATCCAAGATCCTCCCCTGCACTTAAATTTGACTACACTGTAATTAATGTGATCATGAAAACAATCTTTTCTTTAGATGAAAAGCAACATGAATTTCTTGACTAACTTCATCCATGACAGGTTTTATATCGTTGAAGATTCTACTGACTCTTCATTTTCGGAACAGGTTCGCATATTCCAGCCGCCCCATAAAAGACTTGAAGATGAAGAAGAAAGACAGAGAGACCTAGAACAGGCTTTTGAAGATATGTACATGGTGCAAACAGGTAAGAAAATGACAACAGGGTGTAATGGTTGCCATGACAACGAATGGTAGATTCAGATGTGGTCAGGAATGCTAAAGAGTGATGTCATTTATTACATATAGGTTATACTGGTGATTTGACCATTGCTTTGGAACCTTCAACGGACCCAATGACAATCCCTGAGGAACACCAGCCTCAAGGTACTTTAAATTGTAGTTAGTGAAACAACGTAAGAAATAAGAAAATGAGTAAGAAATGCAAACCACAAATACATGACAAGAGTAATGATGAGTATTGCTAAAAAAAGTGTAAGAATTAATATAAATATTCTTCAGCTTGTAATAAGGTTTATGTTCAAACACTGACGTTATTTCAATATCTTACTAGTACCAGAAGAAAAACCTGAAAAACCTCCGGTGAGTTGCAATGTAATTTTAGAAGATTTCAGATTATTTATTTTGTTGAATATTCGCAAGCTGAATCATAACCCTAGTGCTAATATTCCCTTTTCGTACTCAAGGCTGCAGCGATACCTAGTGTTACCATTCCTCAAGATCGGGACTCAGCAGATGGTTGCGAACGGGAACGGGAAAAGAGTGGGGAATCTGAAGAGAAGAAAAAAATGGAGCATAAGGAAGAAAGAATGAGAGAATCCGCTCCACCAAAAGGCGAAGGTATTTTGCGTCTTTAACCATTCCGAAGTTGAGAAGAAAACTGGGTCTACTTGGCATTGCAATGCACTGTGCAAGGGCGGATCCAGCCAAAATTTTAGGGGGGGGCTAATTGAGTTTAGGGGGGGCTAATCGAGTTTCTTCCGTCAACACAACGGAAAACGATAAAAAAGTATCTAATTCTTCAGTTTTCTTATCTTTTCTATTTTTGCTGAAAAGGGGCTTCAGCCCCCATTTAAACCCCCCCCCTCCCCCTGTATCCGCCCTTTCTGTGGGACTGTTTTAGGGGACAAAATAGACACCATCTTGGAAATATGTCTATTTGAACAGCCCCACCAGTTTTCTCCTAAAGTTTTTGGAAAAGCCAATATGTTTGTTGTAGTGGTAGTCGTGTTGATTGCAGACGTGTTGTTGGTGATTAGGGGTGATAGTAGCACCTAGGGGTGGTAGTGGTACTGCGGGTGATGGCAGTGGTCATGGTATTTGCCGTGGTGGTATTATGGTAATGTAGTAATGATAGCGATTGTGATGTCGATCATTGCATCTTCACTGTTATTCATTTGTGATGAAAACTGATTGATCATTGCTGATGATGGTGGTTGCGGTGATAACGAATGATGACAACAAGGATTCGTTTCTTTAGATGCCGTTAAAAGACTTCTCCTTCGCATCCCACGACAACGAGAACAAGGCAAGACGATAAAAGATCAACCGCCTGCAGGTATTCAATGAAACTTAATCACACCAATTTGTTAAGCATTATTATGATAATTTTGTCATTTTAATTCAGGTCAACAACCTCAACAACCTCAACAACCACCTCCAACTTCTCGAACAACTGCAAGAGCAACAGGGTAAGTAGATGATGTGAGTAGAGTTTTTTTTTCTCTTTGGCCTCATCAGCTATTGACTCGTAGACCATTCATGCTGCGGGTGTAATCGTTAATTATACCCTGGAATTTTATCATGTGAGCAATCAGTTAACAGCGACTTTTTGTCTTAGATCGCGAGTCAACATTCTTACACCCCTACCCGAGGAAGAAGAACCATCAAGAGATGAAGACACTTCACGTACAGCTCCACCGGAACCCCATCCAACCACCACAGTATACCAAGATGTACCGGGAAGGGTTACTAGTGACAGCTCACAACCATTACGTGCCTTGCTTCATCCCTACGAGGTTGCGCAACAAGTACGAATGATTGGACCACAGCGAACTGAGGAAGGGACGCCTTCCAGTGAATCTGATGGAAGTGTGGTAAATATGATTATGTATTATTATGTATTATATTCATTCTTGACGTAACCCCGCTTGTGGTTAAGAAGCTAATAATGCACCCTTCTCAAAACTATCGTGGATGCGAGGCTAGCATGAAAATACAAAAGAAATGCCACAAATTACATTGAGAAAAAGTGTGGTATCTTTTGTATTTCCATGTTAGCCTCGCATTCAAAAACATCTTAAGAAGGGAGCTTTCAACCAACTGAGACGACTAAGATCAAACATCAAACTTTACATGAGCCGAACCTAATGACATCAAATAAGAGCAGCTTTAAAGTCCATTGTTTCAATTAGGTTCGGCTCATGTGAAGTTCGACGTTTGACCTGAGCCTATCCATTGACGTTTTTATCATTTAACTCGTGGAATTATATTGCCCATAGAATAACCTCGTGTCGGTTCCCTTTTTCATTTCTATCAATAGCCTGAGTCTCCCTCGAGTCAACAACAACCAGAGCTCCTGGAGCAGCAAAGACTGAAACTGAAACTTCAAGAACAAAGAAGAATCCAGGAACGTCTGGAAGAGCAGCTGAATCAATATCACAGACAGTTCCAAAAAATATCAAGTGAAATACCCAAAGGACCATATGCGACGAGGGACGAACTAAGTCCCCAGCCGCGTACTCGAATTATTCACGAACCCCATGGACTTGAGTACATTGAAGAGCCTGATAGCTTCGATCAAATCAACGTCCCTACAAGACACATAAGCGACGAAGTTGGACAAAGAGACCAAGATGGCGACCATGTGATTGGTAGCGAATCGCTGGAGGAGGGCTCTACCATATCGAGGACATCTGGTACTATTTCTCTTGAAGAACAAACGCCTGACGAGGAAGGTACCTCGCAATCCTCGAAGAGTACGTCTGATTACGCAACCGCGGGAGCAACTGGTGTTTTACCGAGGGGCAGCCTAGAGGGTTTAGCAAAGACATCTCTAGACGTCTCCACCCTGCGTGTCCCGCTTGAACATGATAACTCTAGTAGTGATGAAAGTCAGGGATACATACCTCAAAGGGGAACAGCTCCAGCATTCTTGCCATTGGAATGGCAGAGAGATAATTACGTAGGTCCAAGGAAACCTTCAGGTCCGCTTACTTCTAAGTTTCAGGAGTATCCGTTAAATAAGGCAAACCATGAAACAACAGGAGAAACCGCTCCCCCTGAAAGTTCAAATGAATCTGGAGAACGACTGGAATCTGATGACCTCACATCGAGCTCCGACTCCTCTAATGGTATGCCACATGGTCGGTTGTCGGACCTTCTTCAAAGAAACAAAATACAGTCTTTTGGTCAAAGCGATAGTGGATTTGTACCTACTCTTCCGTTTTCATCGCTAAGCGCTACCACTGAAAGAACTAAAACTTCGTTAGATTCAGTAACATCCCACAAGAAAGTCAGCGATTCTGTGATGCCGAAAACGTCGGGCCAAGTGGATACATTTTTACCAACTTCGTCGTACTCTGGAGATTCTAAGGTATCATCTGGATCATCCAGTTTAAGGGAAAGGCAGGAAAATGTGCCTTCTGGAACAATCTATACTATCCCAAGTTCTGCTGCAGGGCAAACAACGCCTTCCTATTCAAGGCTTTTAGATGGATCACCTAATTACCTAGATGAATACCGTAGCAAATGGGAGGAAGAGAAGAAGCTTATTGAAAATCAAAGGCAGCTGATACGACAAAAACAAGAACATCAACTAAGAAGGATGAGGTATTATCAAGACATTTTGGAGCGCTATGAAAAGAACAGCCATACGAGCCTCGATATGAGGCCTTCAAAATCGATACATCCTAGAGCTGTCGCAACTGATGTTGCTACTATAACAAGTAGTGATCTAACTAGTCTAGTCAGTGATAGCTTTAAATCACAATCCGATTCTAGTCGAAGAAAAACAGCTTTGGCAAGTGCGAATAAAGAAAACGAAAGTTTCTACGCCAATTCGGTTCCACGTGTTCCTCCCCTCGTTGGCTTGAAAGGAAGCTCAAGTAGCTCAGACAACAGCGCCTTTACCCGAATATCCTACCCATGGACTTCCAGTAGTTCTAGCCACAGTGGTAAAAAGTTGTTGGCCACTTCGAAGAGTCCCCTAGCTGGAACTGAGACAAGAAAATCCACTTCTACTAGTGATTTCAGTTTTCCCTCGAGTGGAACAGAGTACCATTCCCTGCCCATCTCACCGGAAGTATCTGCCAATATGGGTCCTGGAAATGGAAGTAGATCTTCTATTGCCAGGCTATCAGACCTCAACGACATGATGAGAAAATTTACCTCGTCGAGTGAAAACGACTCTGCGAAGGATCTACCACAGGGGTTGGGCAACGTTTCTGGAAGAGGAAATTGGGCGGATTATCTATCTGAGAGTCGTACACCTGAGGATGAACCAAATATCAAATACACGCACCCCTCGTACGAGCCTGTAATGCCCTCTTCACGTTTTACTGGATTTGAAGACCATACGACTGGAGATGCAAGCTCTAGCAGACAATGGTACTTGCCTGCCAAACCCAGCTCTCAATCTGTTGGTTCTCTGGGAGCTGTTCATGAAGATGATAGTCCAAACTCTATGAATCTGGACAGGCTAGATGGGGATGAGAGGTTCGAAGGTTCTTTTGTATCCAGTAGCCGCTCGAATATCGGGAACGAAGAAGACTTTGGTGGCGGAGAGATCCAGCTACCTCCTAGACAGACCACCCAGTCAACTAGTCCTCTTGGGACTCTCACTGAGTTTGTCAGCGCGGATGCCAGGAAAGTAGAAGACGTTGACGGTGGCATCCATAGAAATGAAGGGATCCAGCTACCTCCTAAACCGACTACCTACTCAATTGGTCCTCTTGGATCTACTGATACAAATGTCAGTCCAGACATCAGACCAGATATCAGTGATTTGGTACATCAAGGTCCAGGAACCCACCAATGGTACTTGCCACCCAAATCCAGTACTCAGTCAATGGGATCCTTTGGGGTTTCTTCGTCCTCCAGTGACATTTCAAGCCCGTATACTAGTAATCTACAACATCCTGATCCCTCTGGCGAAAGTAGACCTCGTGTTCAGCAATGGTTTGTACCTCCAAAGTCCAGCGTCCAGTCCATGGGTTCACCAGAGGGTTTGAGTCCAGATACCAGTAGTCTAAAGAACCTTGAGAACGTTTTTAAAACTCTACAACGAACTGGCGCCCAGGAAAAGTGGTATTTACCTATGGTTCATGATTCTGAGAAAGGAGAGTCAAGCCCAGAACGTTCCCAACTCTTAACTCAACAAGACGTCCAAAAACAAACGACGAGTACGGCTTCAAGTTCTTACACTCCTGCGTTTCTAAAGAGTACTTTAGGTGGACCTAGAGTGATGGGAGAAAGTTCCATAACATCATCATCAACTGATAGCATGACCAGTCCTGGGTACATGGGGAACGAAGGCAACGGTACAAGGGGTGCCAATACTAGTATGGGAGAAGTGTTCTTCTCACCATCCAGTCAACATAAAGGTAACAGAAATACTATATAGTACAGTCAAATCTTTTGTTATTGTAAACAAAAGCTGCAATATTGGAAACAAGAATAGTTGGAAAATTCTGATCAACGTGACACGGGTAAAGACACACTGCGCATGCTCCAAAGTTTCAATAGAATCTCCAATGGTTTTATTTGTAAACACGACGCGTCTACGAAATTCCCGCCAAATTTCAGAGCATGCGCAATGCGTTTTTATCTGTGTCAATCAACGATTATATGGGGTAGTGAAGTAGTATATTGTAGTCCCTATAGACCAAATCCACTTAGGCGTAATGTTTTGCCCATTTCAGACCACGTGTTGAAACTAAGATGCTCTGTTTGAGTTGTATCCATATTCATGTATCTTTTCATGTGCAACCGATAAACAAAGAAATGATCCTCTAGTGAATGACATGTGTTCTGAAACGGGAAAACATTGGATTAGGTCTATTACTTTCTTATGAAGAGTGGTGACACAGAGTTTATTGATTACCCTATGTTAATGACAAATACTATTTTGGCTGTTCTTATTTTAGGCGGCTCAGACGATGGAAAAGCATCCCCAGCATCTCTTTCATCTGGAAGTCTCGTGTCTGATACCTCAAACAAGACCTTGAGTAAATCTGAAAGTTCCACAACGCAGGATAGCGAAGACAACGTAAAGGTAACGAAATTAAGAAATATAATGATGGTAACCTTATAAAATTAGTGCAAACTTTGCGAAATTTTTATTTTGGTTGATAAATTCGAAATGGTTTAAAAGAACAAATTTTTTTGAAAATAATCTTTCTTTCCTGGCGCAAAAAAGGAAAGAAAGACAGAAAGAAAAAAACACTTGTTCATTTTTGATGCGTGGATACGCGAAGCGTAGAAACGAGTTATTGTATTTCACTACAATGGATGTCTCGTTTGGTTGTCGTCCAGAGTGACGAGGAAGCCCCTCAGAGAACTGGTAACGAGCCTGGTAACCACCCCACGGAAACAGAAACAACAGCAGAGAGTACAGGAAGTGAGATCAGCCTACATGGCGTCTCAACGAATACAGAGGCAATGGAGGATGAAGACCTCTCTTACAGCAATATGTATTTTGGAACAGATGGTTCAAGTGCAACTAGACTCCAGGACGCCTTCGCGCGTAGGAAGCAAGATTTCGTAAAGAAATCCCTGGCGAGAGTCGAACGAGCAAAAGCAAAGCGTTTCGAAGTGACGCCACGTGTGTTTGTTAAGAAGAGGGTCAAGCCTGATAAACCGGTAAAGCCTGATAACCCGGTCAGGCTGGATAAACCGGTCCAGTCCCGCAAATCAGGTGCGGCTAAAAAATCCACTAAGCACAAGAAATGAAAACAATTTTTGAGGAAGAAAAAGTAGTAAAATTATTTGTTATTTGTCAGGGTTGAAAAACTGATTTTGTGTGATTGAAGTGAAAGCTGCATGAAAAGAGGAAAATTTTCCACTTTTTCTCTTGCTTTGTTTTTCTGCTTTTCATATTCTCCTTTCAATCTCGTTCAGTTCAGAGCGCTCCATGTAATAAGACACTTTGTTTTCTTAGCTATTTCAAGCTAATTGCATATATAGGCAAGATAAAAGGAATGTGTGACTGCACACACGATCTCATGGTTGGGCATACACAAGAGAGCTCTCTTGGCATACGTTGTTACATAGGTTATTGAGCAGTTTTCGTACGAGTGAAATGTTACGGTAAATTCGTAGTCGTAGTGTTGAAATACTGTATCTTATCTTAGCCGTAATACACGTGTTCGTGCTGTAAGTCAGTACCGTACGTTTCCCATTTACCCATTTGTACGATAGCCATTTCAATGTTACGGCATGTCGTATTGTGTTGGTGCCAGCTGTAAGTCAGTACCGTACGTTTCCCATTTACCCATTTGTACAATAGCCATTTCAATGTTACGGCATTTGGTATTGTGTTGGTGCCGGCTGTAA